ATTTCTGTCAGGGATTCATAGAGCAGTTGTTGTGTGAGGCTTTTTGCAGAATCATTTTCCAGTTGGTTCGTGGCTTGTCCTTCTGTTTGCAGCCCAGGCAGGTCTCCAGTGTTGGAAGAGTACAGCTCTTTGTCAGCTGTTTTGGTATTAAATAGACATGAAAATAATTGTTAAATGTTTTCCTTCTTGTTTTGTTTTTAGATTTGCTTTCTTTGAGAGTAATAAGAGAAAAAAATTGCACTTATGGAAATAATAGGAAAATAAAATTACACCCAGAGTAAAGCCCAAACTCCCACCCAGCCCTGCCCACCTCCGTCGGCTCTCCGGTGCCCTGCTGCCCCCATACTCACTACCCAGACCCTTTTCCAGCTCTCGGCCTTTGCATGAGCTGTGCCCTCTGCTTAGACTGCCCTCCTCTGAAACCCTTCACTTCTCTTCTCCACTTAGAAGACAGCTCCCCTGAGTCTGTCACCTGACGTGGGCCCTTCTCTGTTAGTCTCTGACTTGGGTGCAGCTTCTCTGACCATCACCTGTGCACAGTGCGCACTTGTACTGATGCTTATGTTAACCTGTGTTCCATCTGTTTCCCCCTTTACACTGGCTGCTCTGTGAGGGCAGGGGCTTCGCCTTACTTGCTCCACACTCTTTGTGTCCTGCACGGAGCCTGGCACATTCAGGTCCTCGCATATTTTCTGAGTGACTGATAATGAATAAATTGTGGAAAGGTAAAATGAGGTGGTAGAAAGAGGTGGTGGGTGACAGGATGGCAGGGTGAGGACCAATAGTTGAGGGTAAATAAACTGGCTGGGATCTGGCACTTGGTGGGCAGTTTCTACAAACTAGCAATAGTCAGCAGGAAAGAGGAAGCCAGAGGGGAGGACAGGGAAATGTCTGTTCCGAAGGAAGAGACTTTGGAACCACATGTTCTAGGAGCCCATCTCAGCAATTCTCAGTGGGAACCCAACTGTCCTAATTTCCTTGCATGACACAGGGGTTATTGTTTTTTATTTTGTCATAACATGCTTTCTGAATTTAAGACCAGTTCTGAGAAAGAAGTGAGAAAAATATCTATTCCTCACAACTAGAGTCTCAGAATCGTGGCATCAGAGCGATTATAGCATGTGAAGGAAGCTCAGGAGGAGCACCGAGCCCAGGTGAGGCTGTGCTGTGCTGTGAGTAGCCGGGGCAATGCAATGGTCCTTTTAGGGAAACCAGAATCCTTTTAAATCTGCTTCCTCTGTTCTTAACATCCATGTTTCCCAAAGTGGAAAGAACTAGATTAATTCTTACTTAAGTACTCAGTCTAAAAGTAGGAAATAAGACAATGGAGTACTTTAAAATATTTGTATTAAACAATTGTGTAAAATAGAGTCGTGTTGACTGCAATGATCGTCAGACCTGGCCTTCACCCCAGCAGGATTCATGGCTTTTTACTTCGGACCGATGAATGGACTGCCATGGACACAGCTCTCTGGTTGTGATGGTAGCTGTGTTTATAAATGGTCAGCTGTGCTGTGAATATATTTAGCTTATGCTAAATGCCCCTGAGAACATGAATGTCATCTGTTTCCAGTCTGATTGTGTTTTGGAGCGAGGCACATTTTTTTCCAGATGAATAAATTTTAAGACTTTTCCACTTCTAGAGTAAAGATAGGGTTGGATTCTGAAATTCAAATGACCAGACTAAATGAATCAGATTAAAATGAAATGTAAAAAGCTCTTTGATTCTATTTACAAATACTTGTCAGAATATACTGCTCAGTGAAAATGCCATGTTTGGGATAAAAAATTAGACACCAACACTGAGATCAGAAACCAATTCATTCATTGTTAGCATGAATGGATAGTATTGCTGACCTGTAGGACAGTTAGAAATGAAGGTTAAATGATGTTGGTAACTGTACAGTGTCTTCATATAACATTTAAACTTTTCAAAGCAGTTTTTATCCAAATGTTCTCAGACTTTCAAATCATAAACCTTGAAATTTGTGTATGCAAACCACAATATACACAGTGACTATTTTAAACACTATCACCATTAAAAAAGCATTCACTTCCGCCTTCTGAAAGAGCTAATTTGGCTAGCTGTATTTATTTGTTCATAAACCTAAACTTCCTGATGGAGATCTTAAAGCAAAAGTGAGAACCAACTTGAAATGGATGTCAGAGGGGCTTTAGAGGGCTCACACAATGTCTCTGTGGGTAGAGACCTAGTGTTGGTAAGTGACTGCCCCAGAGTTAGCCCACTGCTGACTAACGGTCACACTGGGGTCAGACCCAGAATCCTGACTTCCACTCATGTGTTCTTTCTGCCTTATCCCCTCTTCTCCTGGAAATGATCATTTGAATTAGCAAGATATGCCTGTAATCTACAAACTTTCTCTTATGTGTCTGTTTCAATGAAAGCAGAGACAATAGCGTATACACTTTCTGGATTATTTACGCCTGCCCTCCCAAATGTCCTTGCCCCTCCCACCCCACCTCCATCATTTTCTTATCAATCTCTGAGAAAAAATAGATAAGATAGGCTGTTTCAATGTTCTTCTGTGAGTA